GTCCCAGGCCTTGGTTTAGAAGGGAGTGCAGTGTCCTGGTACCTCTTGAGGGCTTGGCCTGCACTGAAGGCCGGCTGGGGGATGTGGCTGTTTGTGGAGCAGAGGTTGCAGTTCTCGGCTTGAGGGGATAAACTCACCTGGCTCTCACCACGCGTCCGTGCTAAAAACAGAATCTGGCCACGGGATGGGCTGGCCACGGGATGGGCGAGCCACTGCAGGTGCCTGTCAGAGAGACCCTAGGAACCTATTTGAGCTACCTCGCTCATCGGGTAGCATCATGCCCATCTGGAATCATGCCCCCCGCTCCAAGTGTGGCTGCCCCCTCTCCTCGAACCTGGGAGTTTGCCTGAGTTAAGGACATTGGTGTTTGGCTCTTGGGGAACAAAGGTGAGAAGAAATGCATCCTCTGTCCAGAGACTGGTCCCATTCAGTACAGGGTCAGCCGCTCTAGTCCGCCACCCTCGGGACCTGACCGGGGATGAACCAGAGAATTTGCTGAACCATGGGAGGTCAATATTGTCTAGCAGCATGACCAACACTTCCTCTGCTTACTGGGCTCTTAGAAGACAGTTAGGGGTAAATTCGAGCTAAACAGCACAGAACTCTGAGAGCCAGGCCTGATGGCTGGAAACAAACTTTATGGGACTGCGGGAAACTTGGCCATGCCCATGCTAAGTGGCCATCTGGCTGGCTAACTAACATCATGCTGGATCAGGGATGTTGCTGAACCAGAGAGTGCTGGACTAGAGAAGTTCAACCTATATTAGGTTCCAACCCTGTTTAATAGATGGGAGCTTCCCACTGGAGTGATCACATAGTGTGTGCATATCCCCTTTGACCATGCTAGAAAGACACCTTGGGTCCCAGCATTGAGACACCTTCCTCTGTCCTTCCTTAAAGGCCTCCAGGGGGGAGTCTGCTTTTCTGAAAGCCTTTTCTCACCAAGCTGGGTTTGTGTCTCACACTTTGCGGCACGCTGGGGGAGAAACACCTGCCTAAAGTCCTTTCCTGGGGCTACGGGGAGTGTGAGCAGAAATGTGTGCGTTCATACTTGGTAATTGCTTTGGAAGAACAGGAAAAGCGTGGAGATAATTGGCAGGAGATTTTCCTGCAGGGGGGGAAGAAAACTAACAAAAATCCTTTTCTTCTCTCTGCCTCTAATGACTTTCTTCCTTTCATCTGTTCTTCTCTTTCTCCACCCATATATCTTGCATGATCTTTAACATGTAACCTTTGCTGCCCCTGTTTCTGCTGCCACTCCAGAGGGAACACTGGAGAGGAAGAGGAAAAGAGGTGTGTCTGTCCACATTACTTTGTTGCATTTTTACAGTACCATTGACTCACTTCT